CTGTTCTATGATCGTTCTCCCAAACACCTATTCATGTTTACCTCCCCTCCTTGAAGGCTTAAACACTTACAGACTATTTAAAAAGATGTTACTGATACAGAGGAATGACAGATTGGAGGATAAACAAAAGGTGTGAAAAAATCAGGGAGAAGAAAGAGAAGGAAGGGGCATGCAGAGGTACCGTGCTATAACACAGCACCATAAGTAGGCATCCTTAAAGGGGTGGGAACGGCTATGTGGGAGGCACTCACTTTAAGGAGGGGCAGGATTCTGCCACAGTCAACTGGAGCAAGCAAAGCCAAGCCACAAGCCAGTCAGCACACACACACACACACACACACACACACACACACACACAACTCCACCCTTCCATTTATGGTCATAGAATGAACTCTGGAGAGTACCAGAGGATCATTAATAGGTAAACTCACTAGGGAGGGAGGGAGAAGGTCTTGAGAAGTGAAATGTTTCCTGGCAGAGTCCAGGTCCAAATGCCTTTTCCCTTACCGATGTCCTAGAACCACCAGGTGTGAGCATTTGGAAACCAGGCTAAGGTTAAGGGAGTCACCACCTGGTTACAGAAGGAAGCAACAGCTGGTCATGAGCTCCTGCAACCAGACTGAGCACTAATTTTTCCATCGCCCAAACATTCTCCAGGACCATCACTGGCACCTGCCAAGGAGGAAGACTACTAACTGATAAGAGTGTCTTTGTCTGACACCTAGATGGGATAAGCAGAGTCAGTCAGAAGATCATCTCTTTTGACCAACTCAACAACTAAGTAGAGACATTGAGATACTGCGCTGGGCATTGGGCCAGGTGAGTGTCAGGCAGTCATGAACATGAAGGTTACCTTCCTGTTTCTGTAGGGTTAATCATCTGTTGGATGGAAATAAAAACAGGTAAATAGATTACTGAAGACCAAAATAAAGATGATGAAGATAACCAATCAAAAAGATAATTAATTCCTTTGAGGAAAATGACTTGAAATAGAAGTGGTATTGAGGCTGGGGATACAGTTCAACAGGTAAGAGAGCTTACTGCTCTTGCAGAGGCTAGAGTTTGGTTCCCAGCACCCACACCAGGCACTTTACAACCTCCTTAAACTTTAGCTCCAGGGGAGGAGACACCCTCTGGCTTCTGGGGGAAACCTGTGAATATGTACACATAAACTCATGCAGGCACACACATATACAAATAATTAAAAAAAAATAAACACAAGTGAATGAAGACCTCTATAGGGCTGGAGATATAGCTCATTGATAGATTACTTACCTAACATGTTCATGGCCACAGCATCCATCCCCAACACTGGAAAACAAAAGTCCTCTCTGACTATACTACCTTTGGGTTGTGACTTGAATGAGACGATGGGGAAAGGCATATGAAGTTTTCTATAAAGTGAAGGAACAATGAGTGAAAAGATTGTACATCTGGATCAGCCTTGGAATGTTCAAGGAACAGAAAACAAAAGGGTACTGCAGCCAGAGCAGAAGAAACAAAACAGGAGGGGCAGGTCTACTGCAGACTCATGATGCAAGACATCACGCAAGAGCTTAGAAACTGCTGATGTCTGGCACTCATGTCCAGATATTCTGTTCCATTGGTTGGAGGTGTCGTCTGGGTACCAGATACTTGGTGAAACTTGGTGGTTACAAAGAAAGTCCAGACAAGGCTGTGAACCACTGACAAGAGATGACTTCGAGAGCCATGGCAAGGCATTTGGACTGAAGGGACTCAGAGCGTTTATCTAGATCCAGATCCTGAAAGGACTCATTGTTAAGAGGATTTGAAGGTAGAAATAGAGTCAATAAAATGAAAGAATCCAGCTGAACATAGTGGCACATGCCTCCCAGTCAGGAGGCAGAGACAAGCTGATTCTCTATGAGTTTAAGGCCAGCATGACTTACACAGTAAGTTCCAGGACAGCTAGGAGCACAGCAAGACTCTGTTTTACAAAAAAGAAAGAAAAGAACAGGAGACCAGTAGAACTCACAAGGCAGCTAAGAGAAGCAGTAAAATCCAGAAAGCAGAAAACAGATATGCATACTTTAATGAGATGCCACTTATCTGTGATCCTAGTATTCAGCTAGGCTATGGTAAAGAAGATCTCAGGTTTGAGGCTAATCTGGACTACACAACAAATTTTAGGTGGGCCTGAGGCTATATAGAAAATATAGTAAAATAAAATTAACAAGGACAAACAACACAAATACAGACCCCCCAAAACAAGAGACAATGAGAAAGGGCTAGGCCATGCATTAATTTCTTACAGCTTCTATAACAAATTACCACAAATTTAGTGTATTCAATACACATTTATTGACTGTTTTGTTTGTTTTTTGCACTGCTGGGGATCAAACCTAGAGCCTTATGTGTCAAGATAAACACTACCACTGAGCCACATCCCTAGCTTATTTATTGCTTTTTAAAAGAATATTTTAAAATTCTTTCTCGTGTGTGTGTGTGTGTGTGTGTGTGTGTGTGTGTGTGTGTGTGTAAATATATGCTACATGTGTGGGTGCCCTAAGCCCTGAAGTTACAGGTGGTTGTGAGTCATATGATATGGGCTCTGGGAACTAATTCAGGTCCTCTGTAAGCATAGAAAACTGTGGAACCATCTTTTTAGCACCCACATTTGCTGTCTTATAATTCTTTAGTTCACAAATCTGCAAAGGGTAAAATCAAGGTGTCAGCAAGGCATGTCTCCTAATCAGTGTTTGACTAGGTAATTCATTCTCTTAGCTTTTGCCGATTCTTGAAGCCACCCACTTCTTTACATCATGGCTCCCTTCCTGGATTGTCAATGCCAGCATTGTATGAGGCTGGAGAGATGGTTCAATGGTTAATAGTGTGTCCTAGTTAGGGTTACTATTGGTACGGTGGAACACCTTGTCTAACAGCAACTTGGAGGGAAACTCACACTTCATATAACAGTTTATCATCAAAAGCAGCGAGGGCAGGAACTTAAGCAAGGCAGGATCCTGGAGACAGGAGCTGATGCAGAGGTCATGGAGGGGTGCTGCTTACTGGCTTGCTTCTCATGACTAACACAACCTGATTTCTTATAGAACCCAGGACCAAAAGCCATTAATCACTAGTTGATAGAATGCCCTATGCGTTTTCCTACAGCCATATCTTATGGAGGCATTTTCTCAATTGAGGCTCCCTGTTGTCCAATGATTCTAGCTTGTGTCAAACTGACATAAAACTAGCCAGCACAGAGTATTTGCTGCTTTTGCAGAGGACCTGAATTAGGTTTCCAGATCCCACATTGGGTGACTCACAACGACCTGTGAGTCCAACTTCAAGGGATATGATGCTATCTTCTGTCCACCACAACTCTCCCCCACATACTTTCATACGGACACATAGACATAAATAAAAGTAAAATATTGTTTAAAGCCAGCAATGTCAGGCTGAGAACATCTTGTGCTGCTGATAGCTCTGGTTCTCCTCTGTTCTCACCCTCCACATTCAAAAATGGTTGATTGTAGTGGATACACCTATGAAACAGTCTCCCTACTTTAAGCTCATCCTATTACCAAATATAGAACCACCCCAAATTAATTCTCCATTTCTAAGTAAGGCAATGTATTCAATTTCTAGGAATTAGGATGAAGTGTTTTAAAGTTGGGGTGGCTGTTGTTTTTTGAGTGTCATTTTGCCTCTTGCTCCCAGGTTCTGGGTTTCAGGGCATACACCATCACACACAGCCTCATTTTGGTAGTCTTTTGCCCTGAATTTTATCTTTGCATTTTGATGTTGAGCTGGGAGGTTTGTGGATGTTTGTTTATCATGGTGTCACATTTGAGTCTCTCTCTATGGGGGAGGAAGAAGGGTGCCTGGAGGAGGTGTCTAATAAAGTGTTGCTGCTCTGTAAAGTCTCAATGCCCTGTTTTGTTGTTATCAACAATAAAACTAATGACACAGTCTCTCTCTGCATGTTTGGGTTGAGTGTGTTCTTCTGTCGCTCAACAATCGTCGCTCCTGACGATCGGTGTTGTGAGATTGCACAGATGCACTTGTGATGTTTGTACTGTCTGAGTGTATCCAAAGGCTCGTATACACTGGAGCTGGGTATGGGTGAGCATGGCATTGCGGTCACATATGGGGACACACAGAAGTTTTTTCAGAAATCTCCAAAGGTATCCAGGCAGAAAGGCTTGGAAGAGAGAAAGAGGAGCTGGAAAAGCAAAGGCCGGGGAGAAAGGTGGGAGGCAGAGGAAGAGACAGTGATGGAAGCGAGGCAAGGGTGCAAGGGAAGATCCGAGAAGGACTCAGGATGGAGCTCCCAGGGTCTGCAGTTCAAACTGAAAACAAACAAAAACAGGCAGGTTGGTTCCTTTTAGGAGCACTGTCAGAAGACTTAGGTATGGTCCACTTTAGAGGAGCCAGGTCTCTGGGCCACAGAGATCTGAGACAGCTGAAATAGATAATTGTCAGGTACAAAGAAAAGGGCAAAAAGGAAGCTGAAAATAAGAACACAAAGGGAAAGGATAAAGAAAATAGAAACTTTGGGAGAAGAGAGGTGGGGTGGGGGTTGGGGGGGTGGGGAGGAACTGAGAATTTGGAACTTCTGACTTGAGAGGCAGGAGTGTAGGCGCCTGCTTCCAGCCCTTACCACAAAGCCTGGGTGTCCCCAGACCTTAATAGGCAAGGCAGGAAGATGAGGCGCCAGAAGTGACAATCGCATGCCAACACTCAAGAGGCCTGTCAAAGCCACACAGTCTAGGACCCGAGCTTCCAGGCCCCCAACCTCCAGATGTAGGTGTGCCAGCCACCTGGGATGACTCATGTCCTGGCGATGTGGGCATGCATGCCAAGAGTGAGCCTGGGCACCCTGCCCACCAAAGACACACCACAGGCTAAGGGGGAGGGAAATTCACGATCTTTAAGGACTTGCTCACGGGAGTGGGGGCTACTAAACCCAACGTTGCCACCTTGCCAACCGCGCATGCCCTGGTGCTTACTTTCTAGGCTCTAGGTGTCTTCGTCTCTACACCCTGTTCCCCAAAACCTTACTAGGAGAGCGGGAGAACCAGATGAGGCATTACGCAAGGCCTGCTGTTTACCTCCTGCATGAGGCCTCCTCCCTCCCTATAAAACCTGACGTGGTGAGGAGACGCTCTGAGTCCGATCTGGGTAAGCGAGGCAGCCCCAGAGAAGGGTAGTTAGGAGGCGCGAAGTGAATGAGGGAGGCGCAGCGAGGGGCATCGAGTCAGCACGCAGCGGGGGTGGTCCACCGCCACCTACGCCCTCGGGGGCGGCTGCTACGGTCGCTGGCCAGAGTGCGTCTGGATCCCTGCTTTCCATGGAGGCTCCCGAGCTGGGCCCGGGGTTGGTGGAGCGTCTGGAGCAGCTGGCGACGTGTCCGCTGTGCGGGGGCCCCTTCGAGGACCCAGTGCTGCTGGCGTGCGAGCACAGCTTCTGCCGTGCGTGCTTGGCGCGCTGCTGGGGGGCCCCGGCGGCGCCGGGCTCGGAGGCGGCACCCCCTTCATGCCCCTGCTGTGGCCAGCCGTGTCCCCGACGCAGCCTAAGGTCCAACGTGCGTCTGGCAGTGGAGGTGCGCATCAGCCGTGGGCTGCGTGAGAAACTGGCAGAGCCGGGGGCCCGGACCGGAAGAAGACGCGGGGGCCGCATACCCACCATGGGCTGCCTGGACCCTCACGGAGAGGTAAAGCGATTATCCTTCTTCGCTGGTCCAAGTTGTTGATGAAGAAGAGGTTTGTGGGTGTCCTAGCAAAGGTGGACAGTGCTTTAGCTCTAAAGTCCTAATGGGAATGTAGGTAGTAGATAACTTGGCACCGGGGAAGTGGAGGTAAGCAGATTGCTGCAGATTCAAATCCATCTTGGTACACATAGCGAGTTCCAAACCAGAGATGGCTACATAGAAAAAAAAAGAGGAATTTAAAATAAAAATTTTAAGAGAAAGAGGGGGAAGGGGGAGAGAAAGGGAAAAGGGAGAGATGGAGAGAGAGGCCAAAGTCTTGAGTGAATAGTTTGAGAAAGCTGGAAATTGACACTTGGTCAGGAGCGGGGGTGGGGGGGGTTGGGGGGGACTTGACAGATAGATGCTTGAGTCTTATCCGTGGAGCTGGAGATTAAGATGTTGTGGAGGCAGAAGCACGTTAGTGGTAGAAGTGGTAGATAGGACGCTGAGCCCCTTGGAGATCTCAGAAGCCTCCTGCCAAGACTATGGGAATTGAAGCCGGGACTGAGCAGGCTTACCGGTGGGAGCCAGAAAGCAGAGAGAGGGTGATGCGACCAGACACCCAGGTTAGGGCAAGGAGGAACCCAGGGAGGGTGGAGATAGGGCCGCATGAACAGTCACTGGAGTCAAATTGAGACTGGGTGCAGAAAAAGCAGAAGTGTAGGGATGGGAAAGTAGGAGCCTGGCAAATGGGGTGGGGGCGTGGTGGGCAGATCCAAACTCTGCAAGTGAGGCAGGGGTTCCCCTAACAAGCTCTAGCTGAGCTGTAAGTTGTTATTGTTCTCAACTCCTCCCAGGTCCCCAGGCAGGGGCGGAAGCAGGCGGAGGCTAGGTCCGGGTGAGCAGCTGGCAGGCCTCTGGCTGGTCTCCACGTTTTGCAGCCCTACAGTCTCCTCACTAGGCCCTCCCTGTGCCCTTTTGGACATCAACCTCTCCCATTCCTCAAGGGGATCGCATCTGGTTTACTCCCCTTTAGCACCCCTCCTGCCCAGCGTTCTGCTTCCGCCCTTTGAAGACTTCACAGATTTAATTAGTCTGGGTGTAATTGCCATCCTCTCTTTCCCCCCTTGCCACATTACTGGCCTCTCCTTCCATCCTCACTGGGCAACAGAAAAGAGGGATGGAAGAACCCCAGTGTTTGGAGGGGAGAGAACCCAGCGCCCTCTTCTGGCTGCCATGGTTGCCTCTGAAATCTGTAGGGCCTCTTGGTACACTTCTGAGCTCAGGGGCCTGGGGATAGAGATGACATAAAACAAAGAGCCAGCCCAATAAACGCCACTGCGCTTTTAAGACAAGATGGGAAGCAGCTTTATTGTTAGGCTTTTATATAACAACTCTTAACCCAAAGAATATGGGTGTGTGTTCACGTTTTATGGTGAAGGGGTGGACATTTGTCTGCAACACACTCAAGAAACTGGAAAAGGATAGCGCTACTGAAAGAGAGCTAGAGTGTGGGCCTGGGAAATTAACACGAGGTAAGAAGTAGGTGTGTGGAGGCTGAGGAAGGGAGAACCCTTGGAGGATGGAGCTAGGAGCATGAGGAGAAAGTGATTTTGGAGTGAGCAGAAGGAAAGGCCATGAAAGAAAAGGGGAGAGTAGAAGAGGGAAATGGAGCAGAGGGAGGAGAGAGAGATCATTTTAAGAGGTGGCAGGGTATATCAACCACTCAGAGCTCACCTGTGGCAGAGGGGAGGATGTCTCACAGTATGAACCTGGTGCTCACACCCATGTTTTCTTCTGCCCATGCAGGATATGAGGAAGACATGGAGGCGGTGAGTTCCATTTTTACTGTTTCTTCTTTTCAACTATTTTCTCCCATAGCCATCAACTCCTCTCCAGGCCCAGATCTTTGTCACCACTTACCAACAGGCTTTCTGGAGTATAGCCTCACCAGTTTCTGTTGAGAGCAAGTGGGTTAGGAATAGGGGTTGTCAGAACTAGCATCAAAAGACAGGCATGCTGATAACTTCCTTCATCTGTCCAGATTTGATGTCCCAACACCCAAGTCATCTAACTCAGAGGAGGAGCTCCCTGAAGATTACCCTGTGGTAAAAAACATGCTTCACAGACTGACAGGTGAGGAGGGAAGAAGGGGGATCATAGTGTGTGCTGTTTGCTTCCTTACAGCTGTCAAAAATGGTCAAGCTCCTTTTGGTATCTGTATCGGTTTTGATTTCCTTGGTCTGCAATAACAAAGTGCCACAAACAGGTGACCAGAGCAACCATCCACACCTCAAAGTATAGAGGTAGAAGTGTGAGGGCTCAGGATAAATCTGTTCCATGCCTCTCTCCTGGCTTCTGGAAGCCTTAGCACTCCGTTGGCCCACAGGTAGTCTTACCTGGGCTTCCTTCTGTGCACCTTGTCTGTGTCCAAGTGTCTCCTCTCCCTTTTAAGGTAGTGGTCATACGTATCAAGGCCTACCCTAATAATGATCTCAGTATTTACCTGATAACCTTTGTGAAAATCCTTTTCCCATGTTCCCATGGGGAACAAAATTGTAACTCCTCCTACCTTTTTAAACAGTCTTTCTATGTATCCCAGGCTGATGTAGAACTCTAGCCCTTCCTGCCTCTGTCTTGAACATTCCTCTAATATGCAGAGACTGAGTATGTAACACCATACCTAGCCAGGATGCGGAATTTAACCCAGAACAATATCCTTAATTCCCAATATCCGTTTGTTTCTAAAGTGCCTAGAGAAGATGTTCTACCCCTTAGTTACACATTCATCCCACTTAATCCAAATTACTTCTAGCTCCTAATTCAGAAGTATTTCCTTAAGTCTTCCCCCCCCCCCCCCAATAAGGTAAGTGTCTCTTTCTGATCCCTTTGGCCATCTCTGTCTCTCCTCTGGCTGCATCTCCTATAGAACCGGGCCTGTCCCTTCCCGCCCCTGCGAGGGTGAGTGGCCTGGTTTTACTGGATACCTTGTAGTCCTCCCTTTGCCCCTCCTTTAATCACTTATCAGGTATCAGCCTCCCTCAGTAGTCTTGCTGACCTGGCTCCCATGCCCCACCCAGATGCTGCAGATTTAAGGGTTTATGCTTTGTTTTGTTGAGACAGGGTCTCTTCTCCACGCTTCTTGACCGGACTCAAGAAATTTCTCATGTGGTGTTCCCCGGCCTCTCTTTTACAGCTGACCTGACACTTGACCCTCGCACTGCACACCGTGGTCTGCTCATCTCCTCTGACTACCGCGGCGTGACTCTGGCTCCACCTGGAACACCAGAGCCGCTGGACAGCCCTGCACGCTTTGATCAGCTCCTAGCCGTGCTGGGTGCCCAGGGCTTCGCGTCAGGCCGCCACTGCTGGGAGGTGGAGACCGCATCTTTTAGAGACTCTACCATGAAGAATGAGGATGCAGGAGAGAGCTGCTACGTCGTGGGCGCGGCCGGGGAATCCGTGACGCGCAAGGGCCTCATCAAGCTGTGCCCGTCTGAGGCTGTTTGGGCCGTGGAGGGCCGCGGCGGCCGCCTATGGGCACTCACCGCCCCAGAGCCCACTTTGCTAGGCGGCGCCAGGGCTCCGCCGCAGCGCATTCGCGTGGACTTGGACTGGGAGCGGGGCCGTGTGGCCTTCTATGATGGCCGCTCACTGGACTTGCTTTTCACCTTCCAGGCGCCCGGCCCGCTGGGGGAGCGCATCTTCCCGCTGCTCTGCACTTGTGATCCCCGCGCCCCACTGCGCATCGTGCCCGGAGAAGGCTGATCATCTAGTTCCCTACCTCCTCTTCCCTAGCCTCGAGGCTACTTATCTCCGGTGCAGAAATCGCCTATTTCAGTGATCTTGTCTGTACACCTGTCACAGCAGGAGCATTAATAAGCACCCTTTACCCACTCAACATTCTTCCTCCCACAGCAAGACCTCAAAATGGCTGCACATCCGTGCCCTTAAGCCAGTCTGGTCCTACATCTCCATGCCCAAACCCAACCTTTTCTTTGAGTTCCCTTTCTGTACCCTTCCAGGCAGGGTTAGGGAAAGGCACTGTACCACCAGTACAGTCCGCTTTTACCTCCAATCCCAAAGGGCTAGGGCCTGATCCACAGTAGGAAGGCTGGAGCCTCCCTCCTGATGTCCACTCTGAGAATTCCCCTCAAGAAAAATGAGTCCTAATACAAGATGATCAACTCATAATCTAAGCCCTTCAGACGCAAAGATTAAATATAAATTTTGGAAGTGTATGCAAGCCAGTCCACCCTCTACATTTCCTCTATGACTGTTTCTTATGCTCATAGCCTTTTTCCTTTAAACATCCTTTTGGAAATTCATCTTGCACACAAAAGAACCAATGGTGCTACTCCCCCCTTCTCAACCTGGGAGCAATCCAGGCATCCTAAACATCCTTGTATAGTCTCCCATCCTCCCCATATGTATAAATGGGCCTGTATTTAACACATTGTGCAATGTTGGGTTATTTATTTTGTGCATCTGTGGCAATAAATGAGATCTCAGTGGTGGTATGGATTTTGCTGATCTCTGAACTGTGCACAGCTAAGAGGCCTGGTGAACAATACCCAGATCCCAGCACTAGTTGGAGAGGGCTGAGAGAGCAAGACACCTGGGTTGGTAGAGACATCAGGCAGGAAAGGGTAGGAATGTACTGCAGGGGCCTGTCCACTCATCTCTTTGCTCTCTCCCTCTTTCCTTTTAGGAACCCAGGCCCCTTAGGCAACGGTGATAAAACTCAAAGATGAAAGGCTGAGAAAACCATTGGCTCTAAGTCATTGGTCTCAGCATGCTTTATCAGAAATGTTATATTCATGTCATGACTATTTTGGGGTCCACTTTCCATTATAGGTGTGACTGACAAAAACCTCTCCAACTCCTTTTGAGAGCCAGAAGGGGTGTGTACGAGCAGAAGGGTTGGGGAACCCCATGGTGTCCATAAAGCCTTAGATTCCCACAGGCAAGGCCTAAGATTTAGGATAACTGCATAAGTAGAAGAACTGTAAGCCAGGATTAATATGCAGAGCTGGGGTGCAAGATGGCTTGGAATCTGACTGGGGTCCTGGCAGTGAAAGCTGGGGCTGCTGAAAACCCAGTTTAAATGCTTGGGACTCAGGCTAAGGGTGCAGGTGGCCAAGATAACTGGATCCCAGGACAGGTATTTTGGCAGTGAGAACAAAAGGGACAGACTGAGACCAAGGTGCCTGGATCCCAGGCACAGAGCAAACTGTAGGGAAGTAGAGTCTGGGAGAACCCAGAAGCCTGGGTTCCGGAACAGCAGCAAGTCAGAATTCCAGAATCTCTATCCACCCTCCTCTTCCTCTTCTCTATTCAGGCAGGAGGGGGCAGGAGGGGGCAGGAGAAGGGATCAGACCATGGGTTGAGTCCCCATGTAGTCACATGGATACATTTGGGGCCAGGCAGACACATGAATGGTGAGAGGAATTTAGTGCTGCATAGGTCCTGGAGGGGGCTGAGACGGGTCAGGAGGCTGGGGAGGGCTGGTTGGGGTGGGTCCTGGGGCTGAATGTCGCCGGCCTTTGCGGTGACCCCGCACACAGTGTGTATGACCACAGCCTTCTTCTTCATCCTCCTCACTCTCAGTGGAGCTCTCACCAAAGGCCCGAGGTTTCTCATAGATACAGCAGCCTAGATGTAGAGGGAGGGAACCAGATGAGAAGGATGAAGAACACAGTGTCCAGCCTGTTCTGGAGAATCTGCCCCACCCCAGGGACTTGGGCATCCACACTCCTTGTCTCTTTAGAGGCCCGGCAGCATCTTTCTCCCAGTCTGCCCTGGCTTGCCCCACAGACTTGGAAGCTCTTAGTTTTAGCCCCACCCCCACCTATTTTCTTTTCCAAGAAAGTAAAGAGAGCTGTAAACATCTGGGAGGCAGTGGTAAGGGCTCCTGGGGCAACAGCACTCACATTTTGATGAGCGGCGCCCCATATGTTCATTGTCCACAGTGTCACTAGTCCATTCCACCTTTTTCTCTGGCTTCCGTTTCCGAAGTTTAATGGTTAGGCTCCGATTCTCCTGTAAGATTAAGAGGTATGGGCCCATCTAGCTAATCTCCTGTTGACCTTTCCTGTTTCCAAAGGTACCTTCTCTTTTCTCTTCCCTTGCTCAATCAACACCACACACCATGCCACTGGAGCAGCCAGGTGCTGGGAGCCAAAACAGAACACGTTTTTAACCTGTTCATGTCAGAATGGGAACTCCTGTTCTTGAAAACTACTAATATGCAAAAAGGACAGTTCTTAACCTAAGGGGCCAGTAAACCTTCAAAGGAAAGCACAACCCTCGTTTCTTCATCTTCCTTCCACATCATCCTTGGTGGTGTTAATACCAGAAAGTTATTTTCTCAGTTTCTCGTGACTGGTCTTTGGCCTTCCTTCCTTTCTCCACAACTCTTACTCATGTTCCCTCTAAAGAGATTAGAAGCATGTGACCTAAGCATGTAGGAGACAGAAGCCAACAGAAGCCAGCCTCTGCAATTTGGTAAAGCATTTCCTTTCAAAATAAAATAGAAAAATAAAATAAAATGAAATAAAAAGCAGGGCTGTGGAGACAGTTCTGTTGGTAAAGTACTTCCTGAGTTTGATTCCCAGAATCTATATTGAAAAAAAAAAAAAAGTTAGGTGTAGTGGTGGTGCATGTTTCCAATTCCTGTACTAGAGATGTGAAGACAGGCTGATCTCCTGCCATCCAGCCTAGCTGATTTGGCAGCTCCAAGAAAAATGATTGTTTCAAATCAAACAAACAAAAAACAAAACAAAACCAAAAAAAAAAAAAAAAACCCAGCTACACTGTGCCTTACAAAAATCTAAGGTTGACTTCTGCCCGGCACCCCCCACACCTGAACAAGCAAAATACAACAAAAATCCAAAACCCTTCTTCTCCAAAGAAAGCCTTCATTTTTTCTTCTCTCATCTTCAATTTCAAGGCTCTGTACATCCTACCCACTTACTCTCTAACATCCTGGCAACTCTGGCAATAATTACTAAACTTAAGCTCCTTCAACCCAGACATTAGGCCCAACACATCTTCCTCCCTTTGAAAGCAATTTAACTTGCTTTTGAAAATTCTACTTGTTTCCTTATTTGCTTCTCTGATCTGTCAAAATGCTACCTTCACCTTACTTTGTTTCCTCATTCCCACCCTACCACCCCCGACTTAAATACGCACCCATTCCATGACTATCTATTGGTTAAGTACTCGTCCTTTACGTTTGCCTCCAAAACCATGTTTTCTTAAATGGCCTTTCATTTCTTCCCAGTACCATCCTTGCTCCTTAACCCAGTTTCCGTTTATTACGTACCCTGACCACCACATCAAGCCGACGTAACACTTAAACCCTAATTGTAACGTCCCTTGACCACTTGCACGATTTGAGTCACTCCAAGCATCATCCCTAGTCCCTGGCGATTGTCCCAAGAGTCAACCCTACATATCCCAGATCCCAAACCTTCCAACTTTCCAAACCCCTATTTCCCTCCCAGTTCCTCCCAGACCCCTAAATAGGCCCCCCCCACCCGGCTTTCTCACGGGCTCGGTTGTCACGGTAACCGTTGTCTCAGTGACGGTCTCACTCAGCCCGGCCCCTGCCTCCGCCATGGCTAGAACGAAAAGCGAGGAAGCGGGATGAGACACCCTTCCCTTTTTCTGCGACTCTGAGGTCTAAGAGATCCGGTACACGATTCGGAGTGTGGCCAGAATCCTCTGGCTTCTTATCCTCCCCTTCCTCCAGGGCCTCTGCTTCCCCACCCTGGGGAATAACCTGTCCAACCCCACTTCCGGCCTTTTACTTCCGGGTGTGACACATCCGGCAGAACCCAGTTTCCCTTCCCCTGCACAGCTCGGGCCAAAGCGCAGGCACCATCAGATTAGTTCCGCCGTACTGCGCCACTTCGCAGACACCGCAGTTAGCAGAGGTAATGTCATGTGGGGCGGGGCCAGCTCGCCCAGGACCTAAATTCATTGGAGGAGAGTCGACTCCGGGCTGCGGAGCTCAGAGGATGTGAAGTCTGTGTGCTGTGCCCTGAAACCTGGGTGGAAAAAAAAAAAAAAAGTGGGACTCGGCTAGGTTCCATTTTCTTATTCTGTCGAGAAATGGTTTTCCAGATCCTCTCCCTGTCTGTAGGTCTTGGCGGGAGGGCACACTAAATTTGGAATTTTCCGACCATAGAAGGTCCTAAGATAAAAAGTATGTGATACTCAGACTGCTATTTTAGCCCCAGTTTGAAGAATACTAAGGCTAGGCTGTGGGGGGTGGGTGCAGGGCAACAAATTCAAAGACATCTGCTTAAATTTTGTTGAATCACTTGTAGTGATATGTTATTTATGATCTATTAAAGCTTGCCTGAGGATTCAGGAAGCAAAGTCAGCCACCAGCCATAGAAGACAGGCACACACACACACACACACACACACACACACAAATCCCAGCAGCCAGAAGCCAGGAGGTGGAGGTACACACCCTTTAATCCTAGGAATTTATGATCTATTAAAGTTTGCCTGAGGATTCAGAAAGCAAAGTCAGCCACCAGCCATAGAAGACAGGCACACACACACACACACACACACACACACACACACACACCCCTACCTTTAATCCCAGAAGCCAGGAGGTGGAGGTACACACCTTTAATCCTAGGACTCAGAATTAAGTGGTAGCCAGGTCTGAGTTCATGACCACCCAGGGATACACGAGACTGAATCAGTCTAAAAGACTAACAGAAAACACGCCTTTAATCCCAGCACTAGAGGGGTATAAAAGATAGACGAAGGGTCTTCAGGATTCAGTAGACGTTCATTCTCCAGCCACAATGTAGAGGCAGCAGTTTGAGGCTTGGTGAAGAGTTCCTTCGTGGATCAGCCTTTTCAGCCTGAGCTAGAGGTGAGAGCTAGTGGCTGGCTTGCTTTCCTTCCCTGCTCTTCAGCTTGAACCCCAATGTGTCTCTGGGTCTCTTTTATTCCCCCTTTGTGCAACACTCACTACAAATCCAAAAATCCAAGTTTTTGTTTCCTTATAATGAGAAACTAGATTTAGACAGAATGTATGCATAATATGTCTAACAGCTTGTTTTTATTGGCCTTGTGATGGTTAACATTACAATAGAGTTACTATGCTTGAGAGATTTAAAAAAAAAAAAAAAAAAAGCCTATTAATGTGTAAGCCCCTAGCTTGTACTGGCTGTAACCTACCAGTCCACTCTCTTTTTCCCAGACAGGGTTTATCTGTGTAGCCCTGGACATCCTGGAACTGTGGAACAGACTGATTTCCAACTCAGAGATTTGCCTGCCTCTGCCTACTAAGTGTTAGCAAGACAATAGGTCATGAAACTAACTGCTATTTCTGCTATTTTAACAAACTTGCTTACTCTGCTCAATGGCTAGGACAACTGCAGGACATGTATGTTAAAATTAGAGCAGCCTGCACATAGAGTACATGTAATCCTGTAATTATCTGACTTTATAAGTCTTGAGCTGATATGACTAGATGCTGCATTTTGGTAGCACTCTTGGTTGGAGTCCTGGTGCCATGAGTATCCAGTATTAGTATTTAGTAAAGCCTCTTCTTAAAATTTATTCATGGTCATGGTGTTATAGTGACTCTCTGAGTGACCCCAGATGCACAACAGCTTCATTCCAGACTCCATTATTTTATCCTTAGTTTTTTTTTGTTTTTTTTTTTTACTTTTTTACAGCTATATTCTAGGTCATTTAAATTTCCTTTGGAATAAGACAGATTATTGTTATTTTTGGTTTTTAGGCATCTTGTTAGTAGCTTTGGCTGGCTTTGAATTCATTATATAGTTCCCTTTCCTCAAGCTTGAAACCTTCTTGCCTCCTCCGGTGAAGTTCTGGGATCATGGTGCTTAAGCCACCAGCCTGGCCAGAATAAGATTACAAATAACACACAATGCCAAGGTTTCTTATAAAATGTAACTTTAGTAAATTCAACTAGGGGAAGGAGTGCTCTGGGGGTGATACCTTATCCTGAAAACAAAGCAAAGCACCAGAGGGGAACAAAGTGTCCAGAGTGGAAGGAGAAGGCATCAAAGGACCAATATCTTCACCTTCCAAAAGGAATAGTATTGTTGCCGAGTTGCCAGGGAGGGAAAAAAGGTCAAGAATCTTCCTTTTCCTGAAACCTATAGAGAAAGAAATGATTCATTATATTTAGCCAAAAAGAATTTCTGGAAATGTCAGATGAGATTAAAAAAAGAAAACAAACAAACAAACAAACAAAAAAAAAACACCCTGAAGAAGGGATGGGTGAGCTTGCCCCCAACAATCCTTCATTCATCTCTAACTTCAAGGTAGCTAATATCTATTACCTTGAAGTGTGCAAACATTTTCCAGGACAGAAAAAGCACTAGCCAAGAAAGGAAAAAAAGATAAACTGGACATCTAAAAATTAAAAACTTTATAGACGGACACCATGGCACAGATTATCTGTGCAACATTCACCCTGACCTTAAGAAAGCAGAAATTCAAGCTCTAAAAAACATAGCATACAGTCAAAAATTACAAAGTTAAGAAGTACCATGAGAAAGTCAGCAGAAATAGACATTAGACCCCACAAAAAAACTGCACATCAGAATTGCCACATACATATAAATATGTTTAAAATGTTTCATATATATTTAAAGAATAAAAGGATTAATTTAAAATCAGTGGGAGCTGGAGAGATAGCTCAGTGGTTAAGAGCACTCAATGTTTTTTCGGAGAATCCAGGTTTTATTCCTAGCACCCATATGGTGGCTCACAATCATCTGTAACTCAGGTCCCAGGGAATCTGACACCTTTTTCTGATTTCTGTGGGTACCAGGCATGCACACGGTGCACTGACATGTAAGCAAAACATTCATACACATAAAATAATACATATTAAATAAAGTGATTGGAATTATTAAAGAGCTAAATAGTTCAGATGACTAATGAGGTTTGGAAAGAAGTAGTAATAACCAAGGGGCTGAGGAAAAGGCTTAGCTGGTAAAGTGTTTTCTGAGGACTTGAGTGTGGACTCCCAGTACCCCTTTAAAAATAAAGAAAATGCTGAGTGTCCTGGTCCACATATAGAGGATGGAGTCCATTTGGGATGGGAGGCATGGGACAATGACAGACAGGATGAATGTCCAAAGCTCATTGGGTAGCCATCCTAGCCTGAGCTCCAGGCTCAGAAACTGCTGGAAATGATGGCACACACCATCACAGATGGATATCTGTGAGTTTGAAGCCAACTTGGACTACACAGAGTTCCACACCAACTAAGAATATAGTGAAACCCTGTCTCAAAACAAAAAGGTAGAAAGAGACAAAGGCATTTGATGAATGAAGCCACCCAATGCCTAACCCTCCATATGTACACTTGCACAAATATATGTATACGTCAACATGAACACATGAAGACAGAATTAATGACCTATATAAAAGATCTGGAGAAATACCCAAAAGACAGTTTAAACAGAAATGGGATGGAAGATACAGAAGTCAAGATGAGAAATATGAAAGTCTAATAACTAATTTGAGAACATGGGAGACAAGCAATGTTGGAATGAAATAACTGCTGACAAATTTCCAAGGTTGATGAAATACAAATCAATTCTCTGCTTCAGAAAGCCTAATAGGGGGCTGGGCATGTGGTTCAGTTAGTGGAGTGCTTATGTGGCTCTCACGAAACTCTGAGTTAGATCTTCAGCACCATAAGGAACAGCTGTGGCGGCACACACCTGTAACCTGTAATCCTTGCATATGAGAGGTGGAAGTAGGAGGATAAGAAGATCAAGAAAGGGGAAAAGTCCAATTAAAATCCTAAACAGGGCAAGTAGAAGAGAGCTCAGCATAGAGCTGAGGGTAACATGCCAGAGACCCTGGAATAAAGCTAGCAGTACCCCAGAAGTAGGAAAACAATAACATAAAGCAAAAACATAGAAAGCCACATGCCTATGTTCTGCAGTAGAACTACACAACAACCAAGACAAAGATGGTTTCAAACTATTCAGACCATGGTCTTTGAATCATGTGAGATTAACGTAAGGTCAACCATTTTCCAGTGGAAGATTTCATATCATACCACTGTGCAAATCAATGTCTGTGTTTTAAAATTCCCTTTCTGGTAGCTTTTTGTGTATGTTGACAGAAGCTGGCCTTGAAAAAAATCCTCTTTCAGGTCACACCCAGCTTCCTTTTATATATCTTAAAAGATTTAGTTCACTGGCTGTCACAAGAGTAAGGGGGCTGTTTGTTGAGATAGTTCAGCAGTTAAGAGCTCATACTGTTGCAGGGTTCTCAGCACCCACATCCAGCTGCTCACAACTACCTGTAACTCCAGCTCCAGGGAATTTAATGTCTGTGGCCTTGGTGGGCACATTCAAGTATGCAGATAAAAACATCTACAAATAACTAAAAATAAATAAAATCACTTTAACAAGCCAGGTAAGTGGCACATGCTTGGATCTCAGCATTCAGGAAGCAGGGGAAGAACTTCTTGAGGTTTGAGGCCAACTTGGGTTGTATGGTTGAAAGTTCAAGGCTAGCCTGGGTATGTAGTGAGCCCGACTCAAAAAACACAGATAATAAAAAGGGGCTACATTCCTCCCTATTATGGAGGACTGGACAAAATGAAACAGTACAAGTCTGTCACTGCTGTTGTTTGTAGACACTAAGAAAGGGCAGAGGGAGGGAAAAAAGATTCTCACTTGCAGTTAATACAGGTATAGAAGACAGTCTGCCCTTCATCAGCTGAACGCATCTGTCTCGTGTGGTATGCCATTCCCTCGTGACCACATCGAGGACATCGCCTGTCAACCTAGGAAGAGTCAGATGGTTATGGAGACCCAGTCACAGTAACTTTCCGCTTTCCTACAGCAATCAGACTATTACAACCCGCCCCCACCGCCACCCCAGGCATTCTCCTGGAATGGAGTGCAAAACCAGGTCCACAGTCACCTTCCCATTGTTCTTAGGAAGCCACTCATCAACTTACCACTGGTCCCTGGGATTCAGGTCCTTCATCCACAGACGTAGGTATAGCCGCCCCCAGTTTGTGGAACACAACTGAGGTCTTCACAACTTTCCCTTCGAAATCTGTAAAAAATTAACAGTAGATATGGCGGAGGAGGTAACAGATCCCAGCAACACGCTCGATGGTGGGTTATGTGGGAGCCTACGAGCGACTCAGTTTCCATCTGGAGTCTATTCTGTCTTATAAGACATTAGAATTCAAGTTGCTTGTTTCAGTCTCCTTGAGAGCCATGAGAAAGTTCTGATTAAGCTCATGGAAAACAGCGCATTATCTAACAAGGTTCTGATGCCAGCCGAAAGGCACATAAATATAGGGAATGAAGCTGCTTGCTGCAGGACTCACGTGATAGTGAGCTTGCCTGCTTCTCTAATTCAAAGACAGTGCATGGTGCTGGTTAATTGATTACGCTGTTCTGCTTTGCCTCTAGTCTGTATATAAGCAGGCTGTCCGGTGTGCTGAAAGGCATGGACTGGGCAGTCCTCCCGAATCAATCCTGTTTCTGTCGCTGTTTCCTGTATCTACCGTTTCTCAACCCTCACTCCCCTACCTAGGTAACCCAGCTGACTTCGTTAGAGCAGGCTCCGCCAGGGTCACATCCTCCCTTTGTGTTTCTTCCTGGGTCAGTCTGAGGTCACCCCCCACCCCACACGGACCCTTCCACCTGGACCCTCGGCTGCGTTCAGTGTACTAAACCCTCACCTCGCACGTCTATGGAGAAGCCACAGCGAGGGCAGATGACAGTATCCTGAGTTCCAGGCAGCGGCAGGACCGAGCCGCAATCTGGGCAGAAATCTAAGTCTGACTGAAAGTTGGAGACGGGGCTGGCCAGCTCCATGGCAGATGAAAGCTGGGGACGGAAAGACAAGTTTATTAGTGAGACACAGGAGTCTTGTCTTGGAGGTGGGTCCCTATCGCGTCCCGGGCGGTAATTACCTGAGTCCACCTCCCACCGGGTCCTCCGACAGCTGAGTCTGCAGGGCTAGAGGTCGGGAACCTCAGCCTGTGGGGAACCTTGTGCGGCGGGCGGGACGCAGGCGGAAAGCGACAAGAGCTCAGATCCCAGCGGCGGGCTAGAGCGGCCGATCGCGGGGCAGCGAGTGCGCCTGGCGTGCTAGAGCGTCCTCGCGTAGGGCGGCCGTTGGGTCGTGACGTCATAATTAATGGCGCACTTAGTCCAGCGAGCTTTAGGCAGGGAGGTGAACCTCTAACGAGAGGGTATTAGAGGCTGCACACAATCTAGTAACTGTGACGTCGACTAAGCGAAGGCAAGTAGCCGTTCCGCACAAATCCTGAACTATCTCTTTTCGTAGGAATCCTACACTTAGCAAGGGAAGGGGGCGGAAACGTCCCCGTAAAACTGCAGAGTTTTTTCCCCTCCCGAGCAACTGATTCCATCGGGTTAAGAGATATACAACTGCCACTGGTTCCTGAGACTTTTTTTTTTTTTTTTTTTTTTGGTCTTTTGCAGCTGCTCAGTGTTTGTTGAGCATCCTTTTGCACTCCCCACCCCCTTACTGGTTGTCGCTGTGAGCAATTGAGTGAGTGAGTCGACTTCCTAAGGATTTCAGGGATTTTGAAGTGATGGAACAAGTGAGATTATCCTTTCAGCTCTTGACAGATGACAGAAGCCAGCACTAATCAAAGCTCCTCTTTTGATTTACTAGGGATTAGGTTTGGCTTTCTCTTGCAGACCAACTTCCATTTCCTCCAGGCTGCCATTCACCCGTGGTTAAATACTTGCCATCCTTTAAGTGAACAATAGGGTAAGTGATTCGTTCACCTGAAGGCTTCAGAGTAAGGAAAACTTGTGTTCTGAAGAAAAGATAGCTTTCCCAGCCCTCCAGCAGCCAACCTGATTGCCATGCTAAGGCTGGTCTTATAAACTCTTTCCTTAGGAGAACCCTCATTTGTCTTTCTGTGCATGCAATTAATGTGTGATTAAAACCATGGGGAAGGATGTTGAAAAGGACATCTTTTACTAGGACCCTGTCATTTTACTTAGAGGTGAAATTGGTGTCAGCAAAGCTCTGTTGCTGAGCCCATGATGATGGTAGGGTATTTTAAATTTCACCCCGTGTCGTCTTTTAAAGTAGAAATTGAAATTAGCCCCATTTCCCTTTAAAGGTTAACATTCATCAGCCATCCACTATGGTTTGACTGATACCTTTAATGCAGTTAGGGAACACAAACAGCATAAGGCATGAAATTCCTTTCCCAACAAAAGCTGTCTATTCAATAAATATTGAGTACCTGTGCCAGGTTTAGAGCCTAGGCTGGGATTGTGTAGTTGAAGTCTGTGTTCTCCCAATACAAATGAGTAAATAGAATTTGGAGAAAGTACACTAGTAGGTGCTTGAGCAAGGGACATAAAGTCTACAAGGATATCCCTATATATACCTTCATATACTTGATGGAGGACAGGTACATGCTTTAATGGACAAAAAAAAAAATGCAGCATGCCTGTGTGGCGGTACATGCCTTATCCTAGCACTAAGGAAGCTGAGGCAGGAGCAAGGTCTAAGATAGTCTCAATATATAGCGAACCCATTTCTAAAATGAGTATGTGTGTATGTGTCTGCTGGGATGGACCCCAGGGCCTTTACTGTTGAGTTAAAATCTCTCATAACTGAGGGTAAGATGATAAAGTCATGATTTTGAGACTTATGATCATAGTACTATTTTTGATGATTTGTGCAAGAAATGGAAGTATGGGGCTGGAGAAATGGCTCAGTGGTTAAGAACACTGGCTGCTCTTCAGAGGACCCTGGTTCAGTTCCCAGCATCCATATAACATGGGCGCTCACAGCCATCTATAACTCCATCTCCAGGGGATCCAGTGCCCCCTTCAGGCCTCCATAGACACCCCGCAAGCAAGTAGTGCACAAACATAGATGAAAGCAAACACTCATAAAATATTTTATAAAGAAGAAATGCAAGTGAGATGGTCATTATTAGTTTTTGGAGGCAGGGTCTCATAGCCTAGGCTGACCTGGAATTTATAGTACTCTTCCTGTCTTGGCCTCCTAAGTGTTATTACAGGCATGAAACCTCCATGTTAAGTTCTAGGATGGTAACTTTTTCAATCTTAAACTATGAGCAAGTAACAGTGTCTAAGAAAGGTTGCAGAGATGGCCTAGTTGTACCCACATGATGGCTAACAACTGTAACTCCAATTCCAGAGAATCTGATGCCCTCTTCTGGTTTCTGAGTGCACTACATTCATGTGGTACACAGACACATGCAGACAAAATGGCCGTACGCATTGAAAATAGAAATAAGTAAATCTTTTTTAAAGGTAATGTCTAAGAAGTCAGGCAAAATATTAGCTATTAGAGCTTCTCCAATATTATAAACAATTACATGCAGATTTATATTATAATTCATATACTTCTAAATTTCAACATCAAAATGTTACATATAATCATAGATACCATAATACAGCAATAGACTTTTACAAAATTTTTAGGTTTATTTCTGTGTTTTGAGTGTTTTTCCTGCATGTATGTATGTATACCACATTGCATGCCTGCTTCTGATGGAGGTCAGAAGGGGGTGTCTGATTCCCTGTAACTAGTTACAGATGGTTATGAGCTGCCATGGGGGTGCTGGGTCTCCAACCTAGGTCCTTTGAAAGAACAGCCAGTGCTCACTGAGCCATCTCTCCAGCCCCCAGGTGTGACTGATTTTTAATCAAGTTGTAAAAATGAAAATCCCCAGAGGAAGGGAAAATTACTATAATGAGGTATACTAGGAAGACTTCATAGTGACCAAAGGGGCTTACCTGTAAAGGGCAGGTGGCTGGCATTTACTGAGAATTTACCATGTGCTCCCTCTTCATACTAAACCGTATTTATTCTTTGTGACTCTGAGAGGTAGATCTTGTCTTACATCTGCATTTTATAAATAAGGAAACTGACACAGAAGTTAGTTGGTTTGCACTGCATCATACATTGAGGAAATAGTACAATTATGGTTCAGTTTTATTCCTGTCAGTCAAAGCCTTTGCTTTTGGCTACAGTTTGAGGATCCCCAGGCTGTGTGCTAGGCAGCTTCAGTGGCTTGAATGCGACCTCACAGTAAACTCAGCTTGAGCAGGAATGACTCATAGAAACTTGGTAGTCTTCACTTGTGGTGCCATCAGCCTGATAACCCAACCCAGGGGGCTGCAAAGCTCGACTGCAGGATTTCAACAGAGAATAGTCTCAAAACGGATTTAGGGTGAAGGATGATCGACAGTGTCAGTCAGTCAAGCAGAAGACCAGATGATCCAACAAGAATAGAATTTAAGAACAAAACAAAGTGAGGATGCTCTATGTGCTGATAGAGGCACAAAGGGCCTGGCTGGAAAAAGTGCAGAAAGACAGTGAACTGACGAAACGAGAGACCCGAGCTATCCCAGGAGACAAAGGCTTTGAAACTGGACAGTCTGGTTTGGGAGTCCTTAGGCCACCCTTCACCAAAGAGCCTGTCCCTTCCCTCCTTCAGCCCCAAATACAAGATTCTGAGTGGTTCACATTGAGTCCACAGAAGAGGTATGCTTTTAGTTCATATAAAAAGAAGGATCTTTATTATTTTGCATCATGGAAAATGCAGTGGTTTCTCAGTGGAGAAATGGCACTTGTTCTCTGCCTGGGTGGATAGGTGAGCAAATACGGCATCTCCCACATCCCACAACCTTTGGTTTTTTATCTTCCAGATTGGCTTGGGCAAAAGCATCCAGAGACCCTAGGATTGCAGAAGGTGAACAGTCTCCACTAGAGAAAAGGCTCCGGGTAAATAACTTGTATCCTGTACAGTTTAGAGCTACCCAGAAAAGGAACCTAATGTTTAAAATTCTTTGCACAGGTGACACTTTGAGGTAGTACTATAGCAGCAGCTTTCACACTTTTTCTTTCTTTCTTTCTTTCTTTTTTTTTTTTTGAGACAGGGTTTCTCTGTGGAGCCTTGTCTGTCCTGGAACTCACTCTGTAGACCAGGCTACAGGCCTTGAACTCACAGAGACCTGCCTGCCTTTGCCTCCTGAATGCTGGGATTAAAGGTGTTCATATTATGTATCTGCATGTTCCTCTGCTGGACAGAGGAGGGTATTGAACCCCATTATAGATGGCTATGGGCCACCTATGTAGTTGCTAGGAATTGAACTCAGGACCTCTGGAAAAACAGCCATTGCTTTTAACCACTGAGCCATTTCTCTAGCCCCTCAGCTTCCACTCTTGTAGATTGTCTCAACACCAACTTCCCAAACTCTATATTTTAAAAACTAGTTATTGGTGATGGGTACTTGGTTCTTTCAGAACAACCAGACTTGCCTGGCAGCATGGGGCTTAAAATGTAAATTGTTGCTCTAAAATAAATAAAAGGGGTGTGTGTGTGTGTGTGTGTGTGTGTGTGTGTGTGTGTGTGTGTGTGTGTGTGTGTATCCATCTGCTTATAACTTCAGAGTTCTGGGATTAAGACATGTGCCACAATTCTTGGCCTAAGATTCCTTCCTTAACAGTATTAAGGAGGGAAAACTGCTTTTAAGTGTTTAAAGGAAAAATTATAAAATTCTGAACCTCACTTTGACAGAGTCTTGGTGGTGTACATACTACAGCAGCAAGACACTTGGTAACTCAGAAATGCCAAGAGGAGAGCAAAGCACTCTGCAGGGAGCAAGCTCGTTCTCTTGACTACTGGCTTGCAAAAGCAGAGTCTTATTATAATAAAAGAATAGTGGAAATGATGAAAAAAGAAGACACTGGCAGTGAAACAAAGATGAAAGTGGAAGAGGAAACACCACCAAGCACAGATGGGAAAAAAACGTATCATTTGGTGCCTGCGAGAGAGAAGAAACAAATAGAAAGGCACATTCTTAGGACAGGACAGGCCAGAGAATTTAAGAACAAACCCTGGAGACAGACACAACCCCTCAGTGAAACAACACTACCCAAAATTGTGCCAGAAACGCAGAGCATCCCGAAGGCACTGAGAAGAAGGCAGGTCAACGAGAGAGAACTACACCAAATTAAAGAGCATCAAGAACGCATGATCCGAGGGAGGGAGCTTCTAGAGCAAAGACTCAAAGACAGGATCTTGAGAAAAAGCCAGAGCCAGATCCCACCACCTGAGAGGCGCAGTCGAGTGAAGAAAGAGAGAAAGGAGTTCGAAAGGGTGGTAGCATACCCACTTTTCCAGCCATCCAATACAAGTCGGATCAAAGTGGATATTCTTATAGAGAAATCGCAGGATGAAGAGGAAGTGAGCACAATTATCAAACCTTATAGAAGGAGATTCTTAGCTGTGCCACCCTTTTTGAGAACTCAAATAGGAAAAATAAAGGATCAGTAAAGTTTCATAACTTTGGTGACAAAACTATGTTTCTTTTTTGCTTTTTCCAGATGGTTTCTCTGTGTAGCCCTGGCTGTCCTGAAACTCACTCTGTAGATCCTACTGTCTGGGAATCCAGAGGTCTCTGTCTCTGCCTCCCAAGTGCTGGGATTAAAGGTGCCACCACTGCTGGGTTGAAACTTTGATTCTTATATGAACCTGCTTTTTGTAGTCTGGATGTCATATAAGTTGATGAATGATGGTATTTCTATTACATACATATATAGTTACCAGATAGTCTGGGCTTGAAAGTTTGTCTTGATATTTCTAATTTCTTTGTGATCAATTTATCCTTTCAACAAATTTTAGATTTTTATTTGGTGTGTGTGTGTGTGTGTGTGTGTGTGTGTGTGTGTGTGCGTGCGCGCACACCAAATTGCCATGTGGAAGTCAGAGCAGCTTGCAAGAGTTGCTCTCCTTCCATCAGGGTTGGCAGCAAGAACCTTTACTCACTAGGTCATTTTGCCAGTCCTGTTTATCCTTTAAACAATGTTTCCTTATTTGTAAAGTGAGAACAACTTCTCATTGGATTGATGGAGCATTATGAGCATTGTGGCACATGTTAGCTGCCCCAGCTGTGAATACCTAGTTGTGCAATGTGAATAAGGAACTTTTCTCATCTGCCAGGTGTCTGGTTCCTTCTACTTCCATCTTTCAAAATTACCTTAATAATGTTACTACAGTTGAGTATAATCTTACACTTTGATGGTAGGTACTTTGGTGCCTTTATAAGGGAAATTCTAACCAGGCCCTAAAGTTTTGACTTGCAATACATAATTTATTTGTATGAAAAGTTTAATTTTGAGAATCTTCCTATGTGCTAGGCATTGTGTTATTATTGGAGATGAGTGAATGTTATGGAACACTTTTCCTGGGGATACCCAGATGACTGACCAAAGAAACAATTCCACACAAGTCCAACTTGGCAAAAAGTTGGTGATTTACATAAATGAGGATGATCAGAGACCACTCTGCATCATCAAAAAGCCTACCATGGTATGGGTGATGATTTGTAAATGCTGCAACCCTGGAGTCCTCTGCAGGGCTTGCAGCTATCAGACAGATCAGAAAGTCTGGGTGTTATTGCTTGGGAAGGGTTCCTGTGAAACTTCTAAATTTCAGGAACTTCCTAGGATCTAGCAGTAATGTACTTCCTGAATCTTAATGAACTTCCCTCCAGAATGGAATGTGTTAATTCAATAGAGGGACTGGAGGGATTGCTCAGCAGTTAAGAGAACTTATGTTCAATTCCCAGTACCCATATGGCAGCTAACAACTATTTGTAACTCCAGTTCCAGGGATTTGATATCCTCATACAGAGATACATGTAAGCAAAACATCCCAATGCACATAAAAAAAGAATAAATAAGTCATTAATTCATCAGGTATTACAACCCTGAAGTCCTTGCCATTGAGTAGTGAAGAACTCATGGTGTGACTCACTCTACAACCAGGTAACATGTGGTGTGAGGGTCATGATAAAGGTACATATAAGTACTGTACAAAAGAAGGACCCCGCCTAAGTGAGCAGGAGAAAGAAGAAATGATTAGAAAAGGGACTATAGTAGGCATTCATATTGCATCACTTGCTATCACCCACTTAAGGAACACCTTCCTTTAGCATACATTATCAAGAGTTAAACCCAGGCTTTCAGACACATGTCTGCAGAGCTCATTGAAAACCATGAACAAAGTTTTAATTTAGGGAGAATTTATTCACCAAGGTAAATTTGGCAGATTATTTCCCCGTTCAATTCTTTTTCTTTCGTTTTTTTGAGACAAGGTTTTTCTATTATGTAGCCATGGATGTCCTGGAAATCACTATGTAGATCTGGGTGGCTGCAAACTCACAAGGGATCCACCTGCCTCTGCCTCTAGAGTGCTGGGATTAAAGGTGTGTGTCAACACACCTGGCTTCATTTTTTAAAAAAATAAATTTATTTTATGCATATGAGTGTTTTGTCTGAAAAATGTCTGTGTACCATGAACATGCTTGGTATCCAGGGAGGCCAGAAGAGAACATCAGACCCCTGGAACTGGAGTTAGACAGTTGTGAGCCACCATACAGGTGCTGGGAATTGAACTTGGGTCTTCTGGAAGAGTAACCAGTACTCTTAATCACTCGGCCATCTCCCCAGCCCTATCAATTCATTTTATTATTGAACTTATTTATTTTGTGAGTGTGTTCCTATGTATGCATGTGTGTGGATGTTAGAGGACAGTTTGTAGAAGACAGCTCTCTCTCTTTTCACCATGTGAGTCCCAGAGACTGAACTCAAGTTTTGGCAGTAAATGACTTTACCTACTGAGACAGCTCACCGGTTCATTTTCTTGTTACCAAAGAATTCAGAAAGTAAGGATTCATAGTTGCCAAGTAGAGGACCAGAGAAGTAAAACCTGGGTGTCCTAAGGATACACACTCAGCCCATGATACTTTTGAAACCCAGGGTCTGCATTGCTAGAGATCACTGGCTCTGTACTCTGAACTTCTTGCACTAATACAAATGTCTTGAATCTGTGTTCTTCACAGATTCATGTGGCTGCATGTGGCCACTGACCATTCAAAACATGGCTAGTGTACCTGAGGAACTGAATGTTTATTGTTTGACAGCACAGCTCTAATTTGGTTGAATTAGAATCACCACATGTGGCACTGCCCACCATATGCAGTACAGCCTGGATAAATACTGTTCCTGTCTTCTGGATGACAGCCCCCCCCCCATCAGCTTTCTGTATTTGACACCAGTTTATGGTGTGAGAAGTTACTGCATCTTTCATTAGTGTTAGTGCAGTTTCCTTTGTAATCCTGAGGCTTACTAATCCCTTCAAGAGACTGAAAGAGTGCTGTAGACAACTTTTTCATGGAAATAACTGAATTTGTCTTGTAGAAGCAGTGATGTACTCTTCCAAAAAAAAAAAAAAAAAAAAAAAAAAAAAAAAAAAAGCCCACTGCTGAATTCTATCAGACATTTGCAGATTATCTAAGAGTATAAGACTAATGTATACTAATGTGTAGTGTGTTTTTCTCTCTCTTTTGGGGCCCTCCACCCAACTCTCAAATAAATACACAGACCTTATTCCTACTTATGAATGCTCGACCTTAGCTTGGCTTGTTTCTAGCCGGCTTTTTTAACTTAAATTATCCCATTTCTCTTTTATGTTTTGCCTCTGGGCTTTTTACCTTTCTTTATTCTTTCTTTCCTTCTTACTTCATGGCTGGGTGGCTGGCCTCTGGTGTCATCCTTTCCTCCTTTTCTCACTCCTCCATGCTGGAATGGAGGGACAGGGTTATGACTTATGACCCTGCCGCCGCACATGTTTGGCTCCCCAACACCAGCCTCCAGGGCTGACCCTTCTCCCCAGATCTTTGTAATTGGAAAACTAACCACCCCCTTTTTGGAGTTCCTTATGTTCTCTCACCAGGCTATTTGAGATAATTATCAACAGTTTCTGCTTGAGGCTAGAAAAATATCCCTGAGTCCGATGGGTGGCCAGCGCAGCTGAAAAAAAAAAACAAAAAAAAAAAAAAAAAAAAAAAAAAAAAAAACGAGATTGACGTGGGATTCCTTTTGACTCCCCCCAGTTGGGACTTCAACACTGCTGAAGGTAGGGAGAGCTTAAAAATCTATCGCCAGGCTCTGGTGGCAGGTCTCAGAGGTGCCATGAGACGGCCCACCAATTTGGCTAAGGTAAAGAGAACACTTTTTGACCCTACTTCAGAAGCCCAGAGAGCTTCGGTGGCTCTGGTCTTCATGGGGAAATTGGGCCCCAGATATTAGGAAGAAACTGGTCCAGAGACTGGAAGGGTTAAGAGGCAGAGAAAGTATATTGAAGGGACAGAGAAGAGAAGGAGAGAAAAGAAAGATAGTAGAGAGACAGAGAGCAGAGAAAAAGTGTGACAGAAGACAGGAAAAGAATTTGACTAAAATATCTTGGCCGCAGTGGTTAAAAGGAAAAATAGAAAAAAAGTTAGGAAATTTAAAACAGGCTAGGGAACCTGGGCAACAGGACCCCACTCGACAAGGAGGACCAGTGTGCATATTGTAAAGAAAAAGGACACTTGGTAAATGACTGTCCCAAGAAGACAAGGTCTAGAAGGTCCTAGCCCTAAAAGGGATAAAATTAAAGGGAGACGGGGTTTGGACCCCCTCCCCGAGCCCAAGGTAATTCATGGACTACCCGAAGAACAGTGGACCTTGGCGTGGGCTGGGTACCCCACTCGTTCGAGGTTACATCCCACCAGCCAACTGCTTTTTGCCTTTGAATGGAAGGACCCTGACACGTGCAGAACTGGGCAGCTCATCTGGACTCGACTGTCCCAAGGGTTTAAAATTCCCCAACGATGGCCAGGCAAGTAAGAGAATTTCTGGGGACATCTGGGTTTTGCATCAGGAGGCATTTGATGCCATTAAAAAGGCCCAGCTGAATGCACCCACTCTAAGCCTTTTGATGTAATTAACCTTTTACCCTTTATGTGGACAAGTATAAGGGGGTCGAGTGGGGAGTTTTGACCAAATCCCTAGGGCCATGGAACAGACCATTTGCTTATCTGTCAAAGAAGCTTGATCCTGTAGCCAGGGGAGGGCCTGGCTGTCTAAAAGCTATCACGGCTGACAAGTTGACTTTGGGGCATAAAGCAACTATAATAACCCTCATGCATTGGAGAGCATTGTCCGGCAGCCGCCGACTGATGATGACCAATGGCCACGTGACTCACCACCAAAGCCTGCTTCTCACTGAGAGACTGAGAGGATTGCGTTCACTCCACCAGCCATCCTCATCCCGCCACTCTTCTCCCTGAGGAAACTGATGAACTCATGACTGCCATCAACTGTTCGTTAAAGAGACTTAAGGACATCCCGCTGGCTGGGGAGATATTGACCGGTTCACTGATGGGAGCAGTTTGTTGTAAAAGGTAAAGACTGGGGGCGGTGGTACTGCTAGACGAAGAGAAGTCCATAAACATTAACA